TATACATTTATATTTCGAATAAATAAATTAACTAAATATTTAAAAGGATGGTTGTGAAAAAGAAAATTTACATTTAATTTTTTTTAAAAAAATACGAAAGTAATTACATATTTTAATCTTTTATGTTATAATGAAAAATGAAATATATATTTATATTTTATATAGAAAGATATGAAAAGATTTTGTTTAGATGTAATTCAGAGAAAATATAGGAATATCTATTTAATTTTTCTTAGAATAATTACAATATTTCAAATATGTATATAAAGATTCATTTAAGTAAGTTTTTAAGAAATAGTCTATTTTAAAAAAAAATCACACATGAATGAAGGTTGTGACTCTGTTTTAATAGATAAGAGTAGATTTTGACCCGCGCTTTCAAAGCGCGGGTTTACGTTTGATGCAAATTTTATAATCGCATTTGCTATACTTGTAGAATGTGGTGTAGAATTGTTTAATTCATTGATTTCATCAAACATAGTATTTTTAAAAATACAGGATAATCTTTCGGTAAAAATTATATATGACCGCATTTTTATTTTATATAAAGTAGACATGTTCATAAAATCCATAACTCGATGTCTAAAGTCAATGTAAACAAAACAAATTGGATCCGTAACCGGTCAAAAATCTAAAATATATTAGAGTGAGTTTTGTAGGGTGGTACAAAATATATCTGAATCAAAGTGTCGTTAGCTAGACCCGAATCGAACGAATACCGAAAAACCGAAAAATATGGAAAAATATGAATCGATCTGAATGTCCAAATTAATCATAAATATAAATATTTGAAACATAAATATCTAATTTTAATATTGATTTTTCTATTTATTTAAAATGATATTTAAAATTAATTATCTAAATTTTAAATAAGTAATTTAATATCCAAATCTATAAAAATAATTATCTTTTCTGTTTTGGTTTTATATTTTATATTTTCAAACTATATAACCCTAATCCGAACGATATATGATTACTTTATCGGTTTTAGGATGTGTACAAATTAAAACCAAACCTCGCGTGTTATATTTGAATCTGATCCCTACTTACAAACATGTCTACTTACAAATTATGACACCTATGATGTGAATTAACTTTGATTCAAAATATTCGACCCGTATCTCAATAGGTACTTGAACTCCCAAGCATAACTTAAATTATCTTTTATATTTGATAAATATTTTGTATGTTTATTAGAATAACCCGTAAAATTATAATCATAAAAATATCAGTAATAACATGTTTCACCATATATTTAAATATTAATAGTAGCTATTATTAATATTTATTATATATATATAAACAATTTTAAGACTTTATCTATGATAATTATATTATAATGTATTGGTGGAGGTTTGAAGAATTTGTTTATTATTATTTCTTGTACCAGTTACATATAATTAAATATATTTTTTAAATTAGATATGTAAATTAAAATATAAAATTATTTAATTTTTTAAATATCTTATGGTAATATTTTGTTATTTTTTTAAATGTAATTCATTTATTTTATAATTCATAAAGTAGATTAATTTATATTATAATTATTATTTTGTCTAATTTTTAGTTACAAATATGAAATATTTATATATAAATGTTAATAGAAGACTATTTCTTATTCTATAAATCAAAATGAGTTAATATTCATTTATAATTTAATTTAATATTATTTTATGTTTTTATTATTAAAATAAATTTAAAACAAAAATATTTATTTTTAAAATAAAATTATATTAAAGATATTGTGTAATTTTTATTTACAAATATGAAATATTTATATGTAAATTTTATAGAAGGTTATTTCTTATTCTATAAATCAAAATGAGTTGATATTCGTTTGTAATTTAATTTTATATTATTTTACGTTTTTATTATTAAAACAATAAATATCTATTTTAAAAATAAAAATATATCAAAGATATTGTTAAAATGTAATCTGAAAAAGTAGTTAAAAGTATCTTTTTGATGTCTTATTTGAATATTTTTAAATATTGTATAAATATTATGTGTTTATTTAATAATAATTAAGTTTGTTGTATGAAACATAACATAGAATTAAATAAATATAAAGTTTTGAGGTAGACTATTTGCAAGTAGATAAAAAGTGCTTCTGTTTTAATACTATTGATGATTTAATATGTTAAATATGTCTTGTAACATTAATGTTGGATAAAAATGAATATAATACTTTTTGCAAATGTTTTCAGTCAAGCCCAAAGCCCTTATTATAATGGTTCATCATTATTAGCGGCAAATTAGATTAGGTTTCAACTTTATATCCAACAACTAGGTCATTCTCTGGGTTTTCATGCATGGATATAAATATTTATAAATTAAATATATTAAAATAATTTCTTTTTTTGGCAAAATATTATATAGTTGATTTTTGTTTTATGATTATAGTTAATTTATTTAATTAATATTATCTTATTTCATTGACATGTGATTTTGGATATGTAATCTCTAATCGATTTGTTATTTTGGATTGTATCTAATTCGGAATTTAACTATAATAATTTTTGTTCTAAATACATTAGAATTTGAGTATTTTAGTTATTTATATTTAAGTTGGTTGTTGTCATAGATATGTAGACTCTATTTTAGTAAGGCTATGTATAAATTCATATATATATATATATATTGTTTTGGTAAGGAAATACAAAAAAAAAATAACTAAAGTATTAGACTAAAAATTACATAAAATAATATAACAATAATATTTTACAAAAAAAAACAAACTGTAACTATTGGTTAATATTATATTACTTATTAATATGTTTTAAGTCATCCCAAAATTTATACATAAAATAAATCAAATAATATGTTCTTATTTTAGTTAGACATCTGATTTTAGATATAAGAAGCTGGATTAGCTCAGTTTCTCATTTTTAGTACATTGAGTAATATATATATTCTTTCAAATTCAAAGTAAAGTATAATTAATTTTAGTTCTAAATTCTAATTAAGCCAAATCTAGTTATTTATATTTATCTCATTAGTTTAATTCTTCATTTTAGATGTGTAAATATATTATTGTAATATTTTTTAGTAATCTGATATATTTAGGTTTTGACAAAAAATTAGAAAAATAAAGCGAGGATCAGTAGATGACAAAACAAAAAGCGAGGATCAGTAGGAATTTTCATAAATGAACATAACTGATGATTTTTGAAATCTCATAAACTCATATCGATATTTGAAATATTCTATAAATTCTAAATAAATTTACATATTTGATATATTATAAAGGTATTTCTAGTTTGACATTCACAACACACCTTTCAATCTTTGGACAACCACCATCTGATTGCATTATAACTCATAACATATTATCGTGATTATAAAATTGTTATTGCACTAGAATTAAATATAAATTATTGAGATTTTATAATCAAATATTATATAAAACTCACGTATCACACTGATTCGTATCATTTTGAACTATTATGCACCAACTAGCCCATCTATATATAAATTTATTGCGTCTCTAACCCGCCCGACTGGACGGGTCTTTGTTTTTATGGTACATATAAATATTTTAAAATTACAATCTTACAATTCCAATTTTACTATGTAATGGTATACTGTTTAAACATAATATTTCATCACTGTATTGCGTAACAGGACGTCGGTAAAATGTTGTGACCCGTAAATATTTTAGTAATATTTTATAAAGTTTTTTTTAACTGAATTTAGTGCAAAGTTATATACACTAAACAATTTAGTCAAATTTTTAAGTTCATTTTTAATGAAGAATTGGAAGGGTAGTATATTACAATTAAAAACTTATAACAATATTATTTATAAATTATATAAATAAAATATATATTATTCTTGATTTATTCCAAATACATTTAAAACACGAGTACATATATGTATAAATAATTTTTAGAAATAGAGTAATATTAATGATAGAAAACCCAAAAACAATAATAATAGTATTTTGAGCCACAGTAATTTTTAGTTTAATAAGTAAACCCATTAGATTTGTAGGCTATCCTTGTTTCCAAGCATCATAAATTTAAATACTTCATATTCATGTTTCCAAACACTTAATTTTTGTACTTCAGTTTTAATAGTATAGACTAGATCATAACCTGCCCGACTGGACGGGTCTTTGTTTTATGGTATATATAAATATTTTTAAAATTACAATCTTACGGTTCCAATTTTACTAAATAGTAGTATACTATTTAAACATTGTATTTCATCATTGTATTGTGTAACATGACGTCGGTAAAATATTGTGACCCGTAAATATTTTAGTAATATTTTTAAAAGTTTTTTTTGACTAAATTTAGTGCATAGTTATATACACTAAAAACTCTAGTCAAATTTTTAAGTTCATTTTTAATGAAGAATTGGATGGCTAGTATATTACTGTTAAAAACTTATAACAATAGTCAATATAAATTATATAAATAAAATATAGCTTATTTGTTGATTTATTCCAAATACATTTAAAACACGAGTACATATATGTATAAATAATTTTTAGAAATAAAGTAATATCAATGATAGAAAACTCAAAAACAATAATAATGATACTTTGGGTCGCAGTAATTTTTAGTTTAATAAGTAAGTCCATTAGATTCGTAGGTTATCCTTGTTTCCAATCATCATAATTTTAAATAATTTCTATTCATGTTTCCAAACACTTAATTTTTGTACTTCAGCTTTAATAGTATAGATTATATGCAATATGTTAAGAGATTTGAGTGAAAGGCTTCCCGATTGCTCATGATATTTCATACATCATTCATTGAGTGGATAATATTTTTAAAATGCTAAAATATGTTTTAAGAGATTTGGGGGACTCTTACAAGCAAATTATGTAGGTTTCGTCTTTATTACCAGCAATATCTGTTTTTTTTTGGCTTAATTTCTTCTCTTATATCTATGATGACTTCGTTTGAAGCTTAAACACATCTTTTTGTAAAAAGAAGTCAAGAACCAACAAAACTCTTTTTGTAAAAAGAAGTCAAGAACCAACAAAACAAATGGATCCGAAGGAGCTTCCGTCCAACATAAGAGAGGACAAGATAAGTGAAGAAACCAAGAAGTTGATCTCTTCGCTTCCTTCACACATAGATTACCAAGGGCATAAGCTGTGTAAATATCAAGGATGCTGGTATTACTACAACACCCTCCAAGGTGTTCTCAATTTCCAGAGAGGTTTTCAACCGCATGACACTGATATAATTATTGCTTCGTACCCCAAATCAGGCACTACTTGGCTCAAGGCCCTTACAGTCGCTCTCCTTGAGAGATCAAAGAACCATTCTTCTGATGATGCTGATCATCCTCTTCTATATGATAATCCTCATGGCATTATACCATTCTTGGAGATTGATATGTACCACGAAAGCTCAAGTCCTAACCTAGCCAAGTTCTCAGCAACTCCGAGGCTGTTCTCGACTCACATGCCACTGCACACGATGCACAAAACCCTTAAGCACTCGCCCTGCAAGATTGTGTACGTATGTAGAGACGTGAAGGACACGTTGATTTCGTGTTGGTTTTATAGCACTGCTATTTATAAAATTGAACCAACCAGAAGCGTTCTCGAGTCTATGTTTAAAGATCTCTGCGATGGAACTAACTATTTTGGACCTTTTTGGGAACATCTCTTGAGTTACTGGAGAGGAAGCTTGGAAGACCCCAATCGTGTCCTTTTCATGAGGTATGAGGAAATGAAAGCCGAGCCTCGTGATCAAATCAAGAGACTTGCGGACTTCTTAGGCTGTCCTTTTACTAAGCAAGAAGAAGAGAGTGGATCTGTGGACGAGATCTTGGACCTTTGCTCTCTGCGTAATCTGAGCAGTTTGGAGGTTAACAAAACAGGGAAAATAAACAATGTGGATCACAAGATTTTTTTCCGTAAAGGGGACGTCGGTGACTCGAAATTCTTTCTTACGCGTGAAATGGAGAACAAGATAGACATGGTCATCCAAGAAAAATTGCAAGGTTCTGGTTTGAAATTTTAGAGTTTTATGGTGTGTGTTTTCTTTGATGCAGCATAATAAGGGCATCTTCGTTGTTATGGTCTTTTTCCTTTTCAAGACAAACTACTCTTCATTCAGTGAAACACATTTTTCTGTTGCGTTTAATTATTCTCTCATTCATGCTTATTGCTATGTCTTGGCCTACCTGCTGGTTTCTAATGATCTTCTTCTGTTATTTCTCTCATCTTCTTATTCCTTCATCTCTTCTTCATCAAATGAAATCCGATGGATGGTGCATACCTATGTAATATATGGTGCTTGACGAAGACGGTTTTGTATGCTTTCAGAATTGTTTTGTTAGTTCTTCAAATGTTTTCCCGTAAAAACTTTTTAGAAATTTATTTATACGGAAGATTATTCTGTAAAAACTTGTTTTAACGTTTAAAGAAAGCTTTGGAAGATTGTTCCATCAAATCTATCTTACTAAAGCAGAAACATTAGACTAGACCTAACATTTATTTTGTAAATTTTTAAATTAAATACATCTTTCTACTTTATAGTTAAACATACTCTAAAGCACTAATGTTCATTTTTATACTACTATTCATGTTTCCAAACAATACATTTATTTCTTTATTCTACTATAGACTAGGTGATTTTCCCGTGCTCATGCACGGGTATAAATATTTTAAAGTAAATATATGATAATAATTTATTATTATTTAGATTTAATTTTAAATTAATTTATAATTTTTATGTATCATTTATATTAATATAATGATATTACTTTAATTATACTATAATTTTTATATGTGAGATTTAGTCGATTTTATTATTTTTACGGTTGATTTAGTTAACATTGGATAAATTAGATTGCCTGAATTCAACTGTAATATTTTAAAATATATTAATTTTTAATTAATTATTTATTTGCATATAGTGGGTGTTCTCTTAGATATATAAATATATTTTAGGAAAATTATACATAACTTAAGATATATTGGTCTTAGAATGAATTAAAAATTAACTAAAATGTCTAATTCCAAAATACGTAAATAAATATAACGATAATATTCGAAAGTCTCATGCATATATATAAATTTTACAAAAGAACTATAATTGTAAGAGTTGGTTAATATTTATTTTCAGTTGTTAATATTTTTGAGTTATCCTATGATCAATAGAAGGTTACATGCATAATTAGTTGATACATTTTTAGAAGCTCATGAACACATATCAATATTTACAATAATCAATGTATCTATAAATTCTAAGTAACTTTATGCTTTAAATTTATTGAATGTAAACTGAAATTTGTTTTAAATAATCTTTAAAATGGGAATTCAAATTTCCTTTGATATTTTGATTATGATTATATTTAGTTTCACAAACATAACAACATAAAATTTAAAAGAAAATTTAATATTAAGAAAGCATATAATTTTAATAATGATAAAATATCATATATCTAGCTCATTAAACCACTTGTTAATTATTTGATCAAACGATGTTTATTGTTAAAGTTATTATTAGGTTTTAATATCTCTTAAAAATAAGCACTACACAAAATTGTGATTGTATTTGAAAGTAATATTATGTAAGTGAAATATAATTTATAGATAATTTTCTGTAATTGAAAGATATTATAGTCAACTAAATATATGAACAATAAATAAAAAAAATTCAATAATACTAATTATAAACTATTTTAATTACTCTAAAAGTGTATTTTGATGTTATTTAAAAACTATTTTTAAATGTATTATTGCTATTTTGTGAACTTTCCTTTTTTATGAAATCATATTATATATACATATCTTTTTCGTTTTAAATTTGTTTTTATGACTTTATAACTAATTTCCTTTTTATTACATATATTTTTGGAAATTTTGAAAAGGAAAATAAATAAAAGAATTAATAATAATATTTTTAACTATTTTAATTCATTAAGGGTATCAGTGTAATCAACTATCGTGAGAGTAAACGTAAGAGCGACACAGAGGAAACTGACTTCTTAAATAATATTATAGAGATATTTTCAAACAATATACTTATTTCTTTATACTACTATAAATGTTTCCAAACAACACTATCATTAATCTTATGTCCAAAGAATACAAAATATTATATCTCACTCTTTTTTATATTTTCACAATTTTCTTTCAAATTATTTAGATAAATTAAAAAATCAAATAATATATAAAACAATGAAAATAAACTTATTTTTACAGGTGTAAATATTAAATATCAATTAATCGTTTAGTCTCGAGTTTTAGTGATTTTGTTTAAATATGGATATTTTCTAAAATCAAAATTGAATAATCGGATCACCGATTTAACCGTGGTCCGGGTTGAATTTAAAAATACTGATTTAAAGGAAACAAATATTTTAAATACATAAATTCTTTCAAATTACCAAAATATTTGCTAAGTTATTTATGATTTTTTCATCATAAAATATACGTGCTTGCAAAGTTAAGACCAAAGTTAACTTTGAATTTGACCTAACCTATAAAATAAAGGTTTATGCCAAAAATGCTAGAAATTTGTATATTATTTTAAAATTTTTGGATAATTATTAACATTAGAAGTAATTAAGCTCTCAACATATTTCTTTTAATGCAAATAGTTAACTTTGAATTTGATTTTGCACTTCGAACAAACGTACTGAATTAGTGTTTTCAATGCACGATTACATCTACATAATACACTGCTTGGCGCTATTAATACAAAATACCGTTTTGATATTGTTCTTTACACATAAATATGAATTGGAGAAAATTAAATCTATATAACACTGAACTATATAGAATACATCCAAAAAAATAAAACATGCGCACCTGCGCAAGTCATGATCTAGTTTATTTTACATCTCGTTACTTTGGTTTTCTAATCCACTACCAATGGAAAGTAAATCAGTTGAAGCTTCAACGCAACTTCATCAATCTTAATTTTTCTTCCTATTCAATCAACCAAATGAGAATCTCCTCATAGTTCCCTTCATCACAAAAGTAGAAATATTGCCATGGTCTAGCAAGCTCCTACAGCTTATGTGCATTTCTTTGTGCTGGCTAAACCGTGTCCATTTATGAAATATTGCCGTGGTTTAACATATTCTTAGAGAAGAAATAGACAACAGCTAAACAGATTCTACAGCTAATATATTTATTAGCCATAAAATTAGATCTATTTGTATAGTGAAACAAGAAATTAACGCTTCACCAGTCAATAAATTTCTTTTAACGGTTATTACCATCATCACATAATAAACAGATTATAGTATCACCAACCTTATTTTATTTTCCCTTCAGACATGAATTCCAATCATATTTTATATCTACCTTTTAAGATGGATTAGAAAGAGATTAATTTTAAATAGAGTAATTTAATGGTTTTTGTTTTTCCATTTCTTATACCACAAATAAAGTAATTTTGGAATAAAATTTAACTCGAAAATAATCCATTTTGACTTTGCTTAAATGTTGAATGTTATATTCTTATTTGTGACTTTTTTTTTGTCATCAACATAAACAGACTCTATGAAGACTGTGCAAACTATCTTGGTAACTCTGCATCCATATGAACAACGAAAAGCATATGCTTTCTGGCACTTCGCGTTAGATTGTCCGCCTTTGTATTCAACGTTTGGGGTATATGAATGATTTGTGAGAAATTGAAACTCTCTCGAAGGATCTTGATGTCTCTTAAATAATTAGCAAATACTGGCCATTCCTGTAGTGTAGAAACCATTTTCACCAATATACCATAAGATTCACGCGAATTGGTGATCATCCATATCCTTGGGTAACCTCCAAAATATATAATCGATATTTGTGAACATCGCTTGGGATGGAAAATTATTTGGATGGATGGATTTTTGAAAGTACCCACACTTGAACCGCAAAAGGACATTAAAAAAAACACATGGTTTATTGATTCCTCACTCGCTCCACACCTGGCACATTGTACCTCCCCATGCATACCCCTACTTAATTCGTAGATTTTTCTTTACCGATGCACAACCTGAAACTATTTGCCAAAGAAAATGTTTTATTTTCGGTGGACAACGGATCTTCCAACATTGAGCTTTTAAAGGAATCACTGTGGGACCATAAAATGTTTCCCCTATATCTTGATCAGGATAATCTCTTTCTATCTGATAACTAGACATGACTTAACAGAATACCTCCCATTAGTAGTGAAATGCCATCCATTCTGATCTGCTTGCCGATGTCTACTCAAAGGTATACTCTTTATAATCTTTGCGTCCTGTGGTTCCACCAATGACCTAATTACCTGAGAGTTCCATGTCCGTGATGTTGGGTATATGAGAGAGTCCACAGTGAGATGTGGATAAAGATGTTGTTGATTAGAAATTGCTGGTCTCAGACGTGTGGTTGGGAGTCAAGAGTCATTCCATACGAATATAGATGATCGTGATCCCACCCGTTTGATTAGTCCTTTGCTAACCAGATATCTAGGAGATACAATACTAAGCCATCCATAGAACAGCGAATAGAAGCGGATCGGTTCCAGGGGTGACGCATTCCTAAAATACTGTCCTTTAAAAACGCGAGAAAAGAGAATATTTTGGTTTCTCAATCAATCTCCAGAATTGTTTGCCAAGCATGGCCGTATTAAAATAAATGAGATCTTTGAAACCCAAGATTCCTTCCTCCTTATATGTACAAAGTTTATCCCAAGATTTTCAATGAAGACCTCTTGTACTTCCCCTTGGGCTCCACCAAAAATGTGCCACCAAACTTTGCAACTTTAAAGCCACAGTCCTTGGGATCCTGTAACAGAACATAACATAAATTGGTAATTCCGTGAGTACTGACTTTATCACAACCTCTTTTCCTCTTAGAAAAATATCTATAAGTCCAGCCACTTAACTCTATTATTTAAGCGATCCTGGACAAATAAAAAAACTTGGATCGTCAAACCTCCCAAGATTTCAGAGAAACCCAGATATGAATCCATTCCTCCTATATTTTGAATACCTAGAATATCAATGACGAATTCTTATTTGTGACTATTAA